TCAGATAGTTCTAAGGCAAGGAGTTTGCGTTTTAGGTTAGCGTTCGACTTTCCATGAATGCATTAGTAGTTAAAACCGGACAACCCGTTACCCCGAATCCTGTCTGATAGAAGTTTACACATGGCACAAAAAATGAAATGGTCACTTGATACGTCGGCTTTCACGAAAACTGGAATATTAGTGTGTGAAATACGGTCTTATGGTTGTCCTCTCGGCGAGCGCTGTTAATGCAGTGAAAGCATGTTTAACTTGATTCTGGTCAGAAAGCTCAGCAAGCGCAACCACCGCCAGTCCCGATGTCTTACCGTGTCGTAACGATCGCACTGTCACGACCGTTGAGGTGCGGCAACACCACCGACATCGACTACTTGCGGGTGCCGCAAGTTTCCAGAATTGTTTGGTGCCTTCACAGATTGCACCTAGCTTTAACAGATATTTTGGAAGGCACGACCGGCGAGCTGCGCGCCGTTAAAAAAATTTCAGTGAAATCCTAAGGAGGACAGTAAATGCACCTGCCGACGGTAAGGACCTCTAGGCCAGCAAACCCCTTTCCTAGCTCCTCAAGCCTATGACGGATTGTAGTAGGTTCAATGCACTTCCTCAAGAAGCAAAGATCTACCAAACGGTGACCGAGCGTCCTTCCTGCGGACAAATTCCCTTAAGTTCACTAAATATACTAAATTGGCGGCAGGCTTGTCGGTTAAGCCGTCTCATGAATGACATGATCTGCTACAGCTGAATACATGTGGAACGTTGGAAGACATCACAGTACGTTAAGGCAGTGTGGACGGCCTTCAAAGCGGCCAGACAAGTGGAAAAGCTTGCCGTATCCCAGAATAAATCATCGGTATGGGAATATGTTCATCAAGGAGTCATTATTCTTACAAAGGAGATTGTGAGAGAAAATATTAGGAGTTGTTTACGAAATAGCCAGGCTACGTGTCATGCAGCAGTGGGCTGGAGGGGAGGGGACTGCAAAGACGTGCGGCATATGCCGGCATAGCGTCCGCGTGATATGTCAACATGATGCTAGCATGTCGGCAGTGTGTCATAATAGTGAAATGGGCATGACCGAAATATGTCAGCATCGTGGCGTTTAATCACCTCTTGTTAATTGGTAAGAATGGAAGTTACAGAGAGAGGACGTCCAAATATTCACAATCGCCGTCAAAACTTACAGAATTTCAATCGGCCATCGAAGAACAAAAGATATATAGCTACAAATGTCGTGGCACAGGTTAGAACTAAGAGCCACGTATCCATCTGCAAAGACTGTAGATTGCTCCTTGCCTTTCCCGCCTCAACTTCAGGGCCATAAGGGATGACTTAAACAGTGCAAGAAGCAACTAGTGGATCATATTCCGGAATGAGCGATTCCTGTTTTCGTATTCATGCTATAGATTAGACGGTAGGTAGGCCGATGTTAGAATGGTCCAAGTAAATTGAAGATAAAACAGTTAGTAACAGGAAATCGACAGCAGGGGAAACGGCCGCGGGTTAAACGGTTTGGTATATAGCCGAAGAAAAGGTTGAAAACCGAAAAGCGAAACATGTAGACGTACAAGACAGGGCAAAACTGACAAAATTTTTTGAAAATGCTTCAAGTTAGTAGGTTGGGAACAAACAGGACTCACGTGATGACAAACGCGCGACAATATTTGGAAATGTCAACTTTTTTATCAAATGCAGTTAGATACAAAGCAATCTGCCCCACTAATACAACGTACCCTTAATTTTTAAAGACAATTATGACGATAGAGAATTTAGCTGAACTGCGGCGACCGGAGAAATTCCACATAGGGGGCAGCGCGTGGGAAAGCAAACGGAGGTAGAAGGCACCAACAACAAGCGAAAACGTTGAGGCATTCAAAAGAATACCCGGTTAATCTGTACTTGATGACCGGGAATTTGCTCGCAATTTAATGCCTGAAATGCTACTCTCCAGCAGTTATGTGAATATTTCTCTGTCTTCCGTCTGTAAAACTCTAAACAGCAAGTTGCAAATGTTTTAAATATTTCCCTTCCATACGTACACTGATTTCTACTAAATTTGAGGCCTCGGAATCTTAAATTATCATCGTCAGACTAAATGCGGCATAACTCTGCCCTAATGTAGAGAATTCATTCACATGCTTTTGCAATATAACAGGCATTTACTGTGGTAGCTAAGGATTTGCGCATGTCGATGGCTCTCCTGTACACAGATGTTTTTAGTTACCCACTGTGCTTTATAAGCTACCTCTCTCTCTTATAAGATAAAGATGGCCTGCGCAGCGAAATCGAAGGCAACAGGGAATTATCGGACCCTTTCTCGGAAGAAAATGGCGAAGCTTTCGTCGACATGTCGAGTTCTGTAGTTCCGCCTGTAGGTTGGAAGAACAGGGTACCTGTAAAGTTTCTTTAAAAGGCATATTTAAATGAAATTCCTGGTTAATTTCTGGTTAATCAGCCCCTAATCTCTACTTGGCATAGATGTTTGCCTAGAATATTTTTGCAAAATATATCCGTAACTTTTCTTTATCATGCCATTTCATTTCCTAGCTAACAGCAGATACTGGTAACCATCCCCTTTGTTCTTAGCAAGACCTGAGACATGGCTTCGTATAAAAAATTTGGTAAAACTAGAACCCTATGGCATCCGGGTTCCTGTACTCTACTTAATCGGGTCTTACTTACATAAGTGCTACCAGGTGGCCATACTTGGTAATTGCTGCTCGATGCCTCATTCAACCACAAGCGATATACTCCAAGGCATTGTTCTGGATCCATTACGCTTTCTTCTCAAGAATGTCTATGACCGTAATTAAATTAAGTTGTTGAGAAAGGTTTTACTCAAAGATACTTCTTTCGAGCTGTCTTCGGTATTCCCTATGATGGAAAGTGTCAACCAGCGGACATTACATGTTCATGGATAATAAAGCTAGAAGCGGGCCTTTTTGCGTTTTACAACAGCATAAGGTGAAAGTTTCCACTCCTGGTGCCTTCATTTCAGTGGATTGATCTTATACAAAAGAATGGGTTTATTATATCAGGAAGCTGTATTGCGTAAATTCCCATGTTCGTTCCGCCGTCCCTTTGCCCTATGTTTATTCGCTCGCTGTGCCTTCTTTTTAATAACTTTTATCTGGAACTTAGATCGCCGTCCAGGTTATCAGCATTTAACCTGAAATTGCGTAGGTGCATAACTTATGTATGCATAGTGTTATTATTGTCTGCTTCCTCACAGAATGCCCAAAGTCCTGGCTTTGGAAAGGGTCATCTTGGAAATTGCAGGCAGATATTATGTCCGGGAGGGAAAAAAATGCAAAAGCAGGTCTTATCCAGGGCATGATGCCCGCTGTCTCTTGGACAGCCTTTTTCGATTCTTGAAGGGCTGCCATTTCGAAGTTGCCCAGACACCGAAGCTTTTTTGTGTGTCCAATTCTTTCAGTAAATTCCAAGTATATAATACTGGTTTTTGGGAAACTTCTCCAATCAGCTTACACACGCAAGACTACGCATTTGTTTGGCAATTAAAATTCGGTCTGAAATTTCGGTCCTCCGATGGATTTACCTTTTTCCAGACTTCTGTCAATTGGACACCCTGACGGACAGTTGGAATTAAGGAATCGATTCGTCCTAGCAATTACTCGGTTCTCACAGAACTTTCGTTAGAAAAATCTATCTCCTTCCGGCCACTTGTATGTCAACAGCACCGCCAGGTTCCTCGTGTCAAAAAACAGCTGAGTCGTTTACTATTTATATCCTATCATTAGTCTGGTTAGATCCCATTTCCCATACCGCCAAAAACGTTTTAAAATATTTATTTAGTAATGTTAATCGAGCGAGTGCCTTCTGTACATTAGAATAATTCCGCTATCAGTACAGCTTCCATAATTATTATGTAGCTGTTCGAAGTTTCCTTTTTCTAACTTTTTGATGTAATCCTCTTTCCTGTAACGAATAGGGAGTTGGAAGGTTCAACAGCAACGTTTCGTTCAAATAACTTAAACTAAACTGCTGGAAGGCGCACCTCAGGTCAGTCTTCGAGAAAAGCATTCTGCCAAAAGGGCCCTGTTGAAACCCTGAAAATGAGCCATTGGATAACGATCTGGAATCGCGACGTGGTTTTGGACACGGTTGTCGCCATTGGCAGCCAATCGATTGATATCGCCTCGGGTATTATATTTTGAGAGGACGCACAAGGGCTCTCGGACGATCGGATGATGCCAAGTTGCAGTATCTGTTTAAACACCTAATTCGAGGTGTTGGGACAGGCCAGCGACAGTCACCGGGGCAGAGCGAACACAGCAGGACCTGAGATGCAGGCGCGGTGCACAACATCATGCTTGGCGTTGCCATTGCGACGGATATTAAAGAAAAACGTCCCGATCGGGCAACCAATACCTGTATCCAAAACTGATAAGTTGCCGGAGGTAGCAAATCTAGATAATCGGCGAACACAGAGAGACGGTTTGTGCGTTCGATGAGTCAGAGATGTTGGCAGTCTGCGAGAAGATCAAACTCTGCTAGAAATTTCAAGCCAGGGATTGCATGAGGGACATTAACAATCACAAGCACCCGGGAGAACGATTGACTAAGGCCAATGTATAGAGTGAAGGACAGGTTACCAGATTTGGGAATGGGCGTACAGTTGGCAGCTTGGAAGTGGGGAACAGGGCTTGAAAAATGGTGGTCAGACAGATTGGGAGGGATAACACTGATGCAGGCTCCGGTGGCCACAAGGAAACATCTTCGAGTCACACTGTCACAGACAAAGAGGGTGGTAACAGAGCAAGAGGAATTTGAGAAGACGGTCGCCTCTGTTTGCTGGCCGACTGGTATCCCTGTTTAGACTTGAACGAGCAGGCAACGGCGTTCCGAGGTCGTAAAGGCAGACCACGAGTGCTGAACGATCAAAGAGACATAAGAGCGCCAACTGGGGTTAGAGAGAAACTATCTCGTCCGTCATGAGCGTTAACTGAGGCACAGTCTGCTGGTTTTTCTTTGGTAACGAGAAAATGGAGAACTGGGCGACGGATTGCGGCTGGAACTACGGCAACTTCAACCTCCTGTCGGTTCTCTCAACCATCCGTGAGACCCAGATCTTTGATTCGGATGCCAAAATGGTTTGAACAGGTTGGCAGACGCTCTAGGAATGTCTCCCTGACGAGCTTCTCATTGACATGAAGCTCATCACAAAGTGTCTACGTCCTTTTAATGAGTTTGATGAGGTTTCGGTCAACCAAACACTCCTCAGGAATCAACAGGTGACACCGCTGACGACCGAACAGCATGAAGCCAAAAGAGTGCTGCCTTAAGGTGCGTATAAGATTGGTCGGTCGGGGACTCTGGACCAATAACTTAACCTCTAAGGACAAAGCCTGAACAAGCCTGTTGAATTTGGTAATTTCTCTGGTAACGTTCGCAGAGTAAAATCTTGACTCAGTGAGAAAGAAGTAGAGTTTTGGTCTTTTCGTCCAGAAGTCTGGTAACCACAGTGTTACCACACGAAAAGAACCCGTCATAGCTGTGGTTGTGGCAGGAACTCAGCGGAAGTGTAAAGCCCAACAAGATGGATCGGGCAGATTAGATGAAGTAAACGCTTTCGATGCACATTTACTATAGAGATGGCGCAACCGCATATTGTGAAAATTGCTGGTGCACTGTCCCGACATAGTCGCCGATCTCCTTTCCCTCAACTCTCCTCGTAACGCTCATCCTGCTTGAACTCTATGTCGGTAGCTTCCACGCCCTCCACTGCAGTTGCCATCATCGACGAATTCCCGGTCATTTGTATAGCAGGCACGTTCGCGTCACCTCCCCATCACCAGTCACCACTTTAGTGGGTTAAGACGGTCGATTATGCGATTTCACGCCAAGAAGAAGTCCAGATAAGCCAGAAAAAGCTACCATGCTAGAACGGACTTAGTTTTTAACGCCACCCAGTGAAGAACAAAGACAATGAGTGGAAAATCGGTTAATGATACTTAAATTCACACCAGTTAAGATGCACTGCGTAATAATTTATAAACACCAACTTTAAAAATACCGGAATAAGGGCGTTAGAAAAAGGGCAAATAAATAGAATAACTAAAAAATGCACAAATAAAATTATAGAAAGGGCTACCACAAATACACAGACAAATTGGGTAAAATGGGCCCTAATTTACTGAACCGAAGTTAACCTATTTATCGTCAGACGGTATTTCCTGTTACTGTCGGCTGTATATTAATTCAAGAAAGAATGGGCACCCCCAGATCTATTGGGCATTTCAAGAACAAACAATTTCCGACTGTGAGATCACTCTGCATTGAATGTATTTCAATTTGACCGCGCGAACTACAAGATGTGGCATGTGTCTCACAGCAGAGTAGGCGCAGGGCGAGAACTTGCATGCGAAGTAGTTTACAGTGACGTCAGACTTGCGCATGATATGACGCTCTCATCCCTCTCACTTATCTCGTTCTGGTGACAGACAGGGTCAGTGCGACCGGAAGCGGGCTGTAGCCCAGTAAATGGCAAAAATATAAAATTTACGCGTGCCACGCACGGATGGTCGGCATACAACTGGCCAGATCCTCGCGGAAACAAGAAATGGACGGCTCGGATCCCAACATAATGAGTGCCATTAGAGCCACATTAACACGAACCGCCCGCAGTCCATCCTGAGGAGGATCCGTTTAGCCCGTTAATTGGTTGCCTCTCAAGTCACCGCCTTTAGCGCGCCGTGATAGCTTAAATGTGCATCGGGTTATTTACAGTGAGGAACGCACCGAATTATACTAGCGATTAGGCCACCGGAGAAGGACTCCCTCTATCGTCTGTCTATTTTCACCAGACGATTGTTCGAGCCGATCAACTAACTGATGCCCTAGTAGCAACCGATATCGAGTCGATATACGGTTAATAGCGATTTATCGAGAAAAGTATGTCTCTCACGTAATTGGCCACCTCGCTCATGCAATCCGGCTTTTCATTGGTTGCCGTTCTTTGGTCGTTTATTGATTGCGCGCACACGCTGGCGCGCCATTATTTCGCGTGAGCGGCGTGGAACGCGTGAGTTGACAGTCTTTGCACTTACCTGCCATTCTTCATTTATATCTCTTGTTTGATACTGTTACATGTTAACCATGTTTAGGCAGGAATCCCGGAGAACACGATTACGTCGGATTAAGAGGTATGGAAACGAGGATTTCCAGTAAGTGATGGTAAATAACGCCGTTATAACTCTCAGGAGCCACAGGAGAACGCCGATGACTTTCGAGCATAATGCTATCAGGGATGTAAGCAAATGGCAACGCTGCTGTCCAAAATCGATGTCATTGAGAGCCACAGGAAGGTTATTTCCTACTACTGGACAATAGCTTCCGCAACCAATTGGTGGGCAACCTAATTTATAACTCCCTCTTGCGTTAGACCTCCTACCTCACATGCCTTGGTGGGCACAATGTGGACGACTTCGTGAAGTGAAGTCTTCACCTTCAGTCTGCTTTTACCAAGCGCCTGAAAAGGTCGCTGGACAGCTACGTCCCAAGGAAACAAAAGACTGTTTTTCAGACAACAACCCAGAATGTTCAACAAGTTATGGACCATCATCCACGCAAGATGCTTCTATATATTAAACCTTTTAACATTATTTTTTGATTCAATAAACTTTTTCCCTACTAACACGTCTTCAAAAGAGTTCTTTTTAGTCGATCTAGTTACTTCGGTTGCAATAGCCACGTGAATTTTCACGTTCAACGCGTTATAAAGTGAGCAACAGCAGGCCTAGTAAGCCTGGTTTGGGATGACTAAGGAGAACAGACGATAATAAAATTAGATATGGGTGTAAGAAGAAGAAACCGCATCATGCGCATGGCCTGACGAGGCCCTATCGCCAATTTCGAAGTATCTCGAAAAATAGATATCTAGTCGATATCTAGACCGCGGACAAAATCGATATATAGTCGATATAGGTATCTCGAAAAATAGATATCTAATAGATATCGTCTCGATATAGTTTGCTACTAGGGTGACGAGATGGGAAGCAAGTGCCTGAAAAAATTAACCTTTTTCACACTTTTCCCACACGACCTGCCCCCGCACCATACACCACGTTTTCTTCCGCAAAGGAGCTAACCGCTCGGATATTAGATTAGTTATAGTTCCATGGATGCCACATGTAGAAGGAGCCAGGAACAGCGCTCCCAGATACGTGACTGGTGCCTATTCCCTATCTTTGGTGGAGAACGTGGGACGAGTTAGGGTGTGGTGTATTTCTCTGCTGAGTTCGAAAAATGTTTCATCTGATGACTTAGTTAGGAATTTAAGGCCTCCGCTCAGTTTTTCGTAGTTACTTGTCAGCCGGAGTCTTGAGCGCTTTAAGAATGAGAGAAAGAAAGGCAGCCTAGCGAAGATCATTTTGATGTAGCTGGACGACTCAATGACACTTAACAGACCGAACTTGAACAGGCAGATAGATAGCGGATTGAAGTTCTTCTTTTTATTAAGTCATTTACAATCTGTGCTTCACATTGCCTTTGTCATTAGCACGTCACGCCTCCGAACGAGCACGAAGTCGAGCAGCTGCCACTGGGGAGAACGAAGATGCGCCTACATCGCCTTCTCTCGGATAGTATGGCGGAAGGTGTTGGTCAAGATAGGACTGATTTTTCTGTATGACTGCGGGGCGAGAAAACCACTGCTGTTGCGACTGCGACCCCGTGGAGACCGCGCATTATCTTCCAGGCGGAATGACCTTCGCATATGCGAACGTTCACGTCACAAGGAAATGATCAGTGCGGTATACAGACCTCCTTAGTGAGCATAATCACGAGTCATGTCTTGTCTTACCTACGGGCCTTTTATTGCATTGTCAGCTTTCCAGAACCTAATTCCGCATGCTTCGGCATGAACGCCATTGGTGTCAGTGATTTCATGATGACTTTTTGCGTTTTCTAATCACATAGCGTGCTTCATCCGTTTCCAGCGGGCTCTTCGCTCATTCCCTCCCACGGGGATTCCATAAAAATAACGAATTCTCAACTTAACGCCACAGTTGTGAAGCCCTCTTACACATCAGACTGCAAAATGCAAGTATATTGCATTGCTGATAAATTTTCCAATCCCGTTGCTAGCCTGACACCCCAAATAATAAAGCCCTTTCCTGATGTTAACTGTTTTCCGAAACCATTACGTCCGCCACTTAACATAAACTACCCCTCGTATTATGCTAACAATTCCCAAAATCCTATTTTCTTGTCTCCTATTTTTCCAACC